TAAAATGTACTTTTTGCCCTTACCTGGAAACAGAGAAAAAGATTTATTTACGTGAAGGTGTAAACTGATAGCTTGTGTCCACAGCTTTGAAAACATAAATGCTCTGACTCCATATTTAATCCATACTTAAGGGAAGCACTTCAGGAAACTTAGTTGTTGGGAGTCAACACCAAAGCTGTAAAGAGGTACAGAATTATACAGAAAGCTCTTTTTTTTTTTTTCCCTCAACACATGCTTCCCAGCTAAATTTCCAGTTCCCCTTCTGAAAAAAAGTCTCTGGAACCCAAACAAAAACCCCAGTGACATAATGGCAGGTGCTGTTCAAGGGCGGTGTTCTGGAAGAGATGAAGATGTGGGTGTGGTACCATGACACAAGCATTGGTAGCCAACAAGGTTAATATGCCATCAACTTCATTTCTTTTGGTACTTCCATGGAGAAATTAACAGCATGAAGCTTTAGGTGTTTAGCACCTTAATGTCTGTGAACTCCTGGGTTTATTGGAATGATGAAGAAATAACGGTGCAAGTCTGCAACTGCATCTCTGTGCTACGTAACAGATACTGTCTGGTGGAAGTATTTACTGCTTAAGACCCTGACTGGACTTTACTGTCTTTGCCTCCAGAATTACTCAAGGGAAGGGACTCATGCCTGATGGTACCAGCAGATTCACCTGCAAAGGAAAGCAGATTTACCACTTCATGGGGACTAGCACTTTCTCAGAGTACACCGTGGTGGCCGATATCTCAGTAGCTAAGATAGATGCTGCAGCACCCCTTGATAAAGTTTGCCTGCTTGGTTGTGGAATCTCTACTGGCTATGGGGCTGCTGTCAACACTGCCAAGGTAAAGGCTGTATTTGCCTCTGGCTTTTCTCTCTGTAACTGTATCTGAGCTGAAGTACACAGGTAGTTTAGGGACTAGATTAGGACTGCAACCATGATGACCGAATTTCCCTCCTTCCTCCTCTGCTATTTAAGAATTTCTGACTTCTCCATAAAGGCTAGATAATATTAGAAGAACCCGATTCCATTTAGAGGAACTCCAGGTAGAAGATTCTGCATCCCTTTATACCAACTATATATAAATGACTTTCCCAGTTGATATTAATCTTGCTGCAGGTCACTCTGATAGTGTGAAGCTCAGGATGAAACAGAGCTGGTAGGTGAGTGTGCATGAATCTAGGGCTGGTTATGGGAGTTGAGTCTTTGGACAAAACTAAAAGCTTAGTACCTAAAAAGCTTTTGGATTAAATGTCTGTATAGTTTCTCTTATCTAAGTGATGAGGTCTTGTAGCTATATCTGTTTGCATCCACATTTCCTTCATCACAGATTTCTTAACCTGTGTTTCCCATTTGTGGGGTGATGAATTTTCTGTGTTAATCTTGGCTCTGTTCTTTGTCCTAGGTGGAACCTGGCTCTACATGTGCTGTCTTTGGTTTAGGAGGGGTTGGGCTGGCGGTTATTATGGGCTGTAAAGTAGCAGGAGCATCACGGATCATTGGCATCGAACTTAACAAGGATAAGTATGCCAAAGCCAAAGAGTTTGGAGCTGGTGAGTACATTAGCCCTCAAGACTTCAAGAAACCCATACAGGAAGCGCTGATTGAGATGACCGATGGTGGTGTGGACTTCTCATTTGAGTGCATTGGTAACGTTGGAGTCATGGTGAGTGTTTGCACAACAGTAGTACGTAGAGAGAGGGGATAGCCAGCTGCCACTTAGTTTTTTTTAGCTGAATAGCAAAATGAGCTGCCTTATTATTACAGAAAACATGCCATACTAACTTATTTTTTTAAATAGTAATGGTAACTGCTATGACTAAAAAGGCCAATTTACATCCAGTCCTAATTATGTAAGGAAAGCAGAAGCGACTTCTTAGGTTGAAAATGGCACTTAAAATTTACAAACTTTTTTTCCTTAAAGGGGGTTCTTTGAAATCTTGAGTTCTTGTATGCTGACAGTTGAAAAATTAACAAAACCTACATAAAATATATTGTACAGTGAACAGTAAAATCTCAGTGACCGCTCAGTATTTCCCCAATTCCTCAGATAACTTTAACTTTTGGAAACTACAACTATTACTGAATATACAGCTGGGTTTTCAGGACTTAACACAGCATTTCTGTCAGTAACATGATCTTCATGGTTCCCAGTGAAGTCCAGAGTGACTTCTCTGGAAGCCAGATGGGATATAAAAAGAGCAAAGTGAATCTTTTTAACAGTATAAGGAGTCTGAACCAATGGAAAAGTTAATGTAATTTTCTACCTATTTATTGTTCCTTAAATACTAAGACTGTACTTCATTAACTGGGGGAAAGGAAGTGCAACCTGTGCTGGTCTAGGCAGTGTAAACATTAGCAGTAAACGCTCTGCTTTGTCCTGTCCATCTGTGAAGAGAGCTGCCTTGGAAGCCTGCCACAAAGGCTGGGGCGTCAGCGTGATAGTTGGAGTGGCTGGTGCTGGGCAGGAGATCTGCACGCGGCCGTTCCAGCTCGTGACGGGGCGGACGTGGAAGGGCACTGCCTTTGGAGGTAACTCCCCCTGGGCCTGGGCACAGAAGGAATGCACCGTGGGTTAAAGCTGGGCAGAACACACCACCTTGCTTTTGCTTGTGCAAGAAATGTACTGTGCACAGGCTGCTCACAAATGCTGTGTTGACTTCTACGATAAAGACTTTAAAATTCTGGTATTCCTACAGACAGGCTACAAATAAACACATTGGTGTGATACCTCATGTGTTCTGAAGAGCTAGAACTAGATGCTCTTCAGTATTAGAGGAGTGGCATACAGGACCTGTTTTATCACCAAGCAAAGGTTTGGTTCAGCTTGGTCCAGAGAAAAGATCTAGTCCCTGGGGAGATGGGAGCTCACATAACATGTTTGTGGTGCTGAATCACTAAGCAAATTGTGGGGCTAATACAGGAATATGCTATAAAGAGCTTTAAAAGAAAAAGCAACAAGTGCTCGATACACGTTTTCTGCTGTCAGACTTAAAAATGTGTGGAGACTTTTACAGCTTCTGATAACTTGGGGTTCAGTCATAGCTGAAGTTCATGAAAATATCCAAACTTGATGATATTATTACACTGCCCTTTTTCCACGTAATACAGAACTTTGTTGGATTATAAAGATTCAGAGAGGCTGAAGGGTTTGGATACTATGTGCTCCTAGCTGTCCTCTTGCATTCCTTACTGCCTGCCTAGAGCAGGAGGGACAAAATCCTCACTAATCTCAGTTCCAGTTATTTGTCACAGACGTGCCAGTGTAAGGGTTGTACTTTTCTGTTTTCCAGGGTGGGTGGAAAGAGAAAAAACAAATGCATACTTTGTCTTTCAGGCTGGAAGAGCGTAGACAGTGTACCAAAACTGGTGACTGAATACATGTCCAAAAAGATCAAGGTTGATGAATTTGTGACTCACACCCTGCCTTTTGACAAAATTAATGAGGCTTTTGAGCTGATGCATACAGGAAAGAGGTAATGTTCATAATATTGAAAGGTGTAGAAGACATTTCTTGATGAGACACTGTTGAAATACCGGTTCCCTGCCCATTGTCATGTTTTATACAGGATAAAGGCTGACATACACCATGCACATTCATTCCGAGATAAACAAATACCCTTTCTCTGAGCTTCTAGGCATGTGTCAAAACACAGGCAGAGTAAAATGCAAGCAGTGGTGTATAAGGGTAATGAGTAAGAAGCTGATAAAGGGCACAAGTCAGTCTTAGGCTTCCAACATTGCTAAAACATTCTTCCTCAGAAAAAGAAATGTAAAGAGATCGTAGGGGAGTTCACATTAATACATTTTTACAAGTCATGAAGCTATTAGTCTGTTTTAATAGTTGATTTCAAACTACTTAGTATAGATTGCCAGCACAGTCAGTCGCTTAGAAGGTTTAGTAGGCTACATTAATTTTTTTTTTTTTCTAGTTTGAACTGGGGTAGAACATCTGTATGATGGTTTGTACTTTGTAACATAGAGCAGTTTCTGCCTTCATTAAGAGAAGTGGCATTTGGACTGTTCACACTGCAGATATAGGCCACAGATGTGTTAGCTCTCTGAAGAGAGGCTAAGATGACGCCCAACCTCAGTGCATACTGAAGGGACCCCACGTGTTGGTGAGGAAAACAGGGGCCAGCATGGGGGCACCGAGGCAGAGCTTGCACCTGCAGGTTAAAAGCTAATGCAGAAAAGGGGAGAGGATTAGACAGTTCTGTCCTGAGGTGTGTTAAAGCTTGTCCTGCTGTGTCTCTTAAAGAGCAGGCCTCTTTTAAATGAGATGCTCTGTAATTTGTTGGAAAGTGAGACTCTTAATAGTGATCAGTGCCTCTTAAAAGTAGAAATCGGATTTTCTAGCAGACTAAGTCACTTCTTAAGACTGTCTTATGAATTAAGGGAAGAAGCAGCAGGTGGACAAGAGGAAAAATTGGGAGAGCTGATCTGGAAAGAAAAAATCCTGGGCATTTGCACTAATGCAGGCAACTGTTTATCCAGAGTTAGGTTCACCTGCAGATGGATAAATAGTTACCAGCATTATCTCAAGAAGCGCGCTATGGTCTTTGTATTTGATCTCAGTCTATACTGATGTATTGTATAGGACTTACCCAAAACAGCAATATGCATGAGAGAGAAATCTATGACTTTTGAGAAAGTTAAGAGTGACTGCATTTGTACTTTCTACAGTTGGAAACGCTGCACCTATACAAATCCAGCAGCTGATCCCCTTTCCAAGTTACAAACTTCTTTTTCATTTCAATGCTTCAGTCCTACATGAACATGTCCTATGCAATTAGAGTATATCTTATGGGGGAGAGAGACTAAAAAAGACCAGGCATTACCAACTCATTTTTAACAAATTATATGCATAACTTCATTCTTACAAGAAACACAAGTTAAGCATATCTTAGCAATAAAAGGGAAAGAAGGGAATACAAAAAGACTTATTGATAACTTCTTTCTCTTCTTTTTCATTTTCAGCATTCGAACTGTCCTAAAACTTTAGAGCCAGATGTGGATGTTCTGTTTGGCCAGGAGCATGGTAACTGTCCTTCTATAATGGAGTTTCTGATAGAGGGTAGAATCAAGCAAATGAAAACTCACTGGGACTAAGAAGATCATGTATTTTACCATGAGCATTTAGAATACTGCATAACAAAAAAATGGGTAACCACTGAATAGTGTTACATAATTAGCAGTGGTTGTGGAACTTCTCTTTGTATACTTGTTCAAATTCAACAGTGCCTAACTCAATCTACTAATAAAAGCTCATTTCTAAACAGTGTTCGAAGTATTGAGCATTAAGGCTGTGACTGTTTTTGCTGTGTCTTACTGTTTTCCTCTAGTGATTTACAGTATGTGCACATGACAGAGGAAGAATATTCTTCAGAGCTGGTAACAAGTGGTGTGGGATTCGTTACATGAGGCAGTTTGCTGAGCACAGCTGGGTTGAGAGGCAGTGTTGTTGTGCTCTAATTGTGCTGAGAGCATGGCAAGAACTCCAACAGCTGTCAGGCTTCTGGGGCTACTCTAGGACTACCAAGAATGTACCATCCAGCTCTACTTTGAATCAATAGTAGAGCAGAGTGGGGCCTAAGTGTGTGACCGAGGTGCCCAGGTGTACCCATGTTCACTGGAGAAGTCCATCTTCTGCCTTATTTCCTCTTTGGCTCATTACATGAACTGTAGGCAGGCCTGTTGTCAAAATGTTAGACTGTGCAACACCTGTAGACTGTTCTAGCCCCTTGCCCTGTTGGTGTTCTCTAAGACTTCAGTAGCACAGTTTTGCCACTTCCTTAAACTTACTGCCCATTGGGCCAGGCTGCAGCCAACACTGGAAAAACAAACAGTGTGGGATTGTTACCTCTAGTCAGAAAGATCGTGCCACTGAACATTACTGTTAGACCAACAGTCTGCTCCTCAAGGGTACAGAACAACAATGAGGAGCATTGTGTGATGAAGGCTTCAGGGTTTTGTGGAGATGTTTGTTTGTTTGTCAGGTGTGAGGAGCTAAGTCTTAATTTTGGAGTTGCAGGTTTTTTTATCAACTGCAGGTGAAGTGATATAGCTGGATAAATTTTCTTGGAATTGACACCTGGAAGCAGATGCCACAGGTCCAGAAAAACACACAGGAATGGCAGGAAACAAACTTCAAAACAGAGGCAGGAAGGGTACCCAGCTGAAGTTACACATGTTAAAGTCAGTACTTTCAGCTTAACAGAAAAGTTTCACGTTTTAAAGGAGCCTGGTCAAAACAACTGTTACAGAGAAAGCTAAACAGCTTCTAATCTTATTAGAAGAAATTCCCTCTCACCACTAAACCAACTACCTTACCCCAAGACCCTGCTATAGAACCAGGACAGTTACACTTTTTACATTTGTCACTGGAAAGTTATCCCTAGAGGCTTCTGAAAACAGCTGAGGTAACTTCATTTCAGACAGAGTAAACAACAAAGTTAACTCCTGCGAATGTCATAAAAATTCAATATTGAGCATCGGGAAGGAAGATAAAAAAAGTGAATTTGTACTAGGAAGGTGAGCCATCTAACACAGCAGTGAAGTGACTCTTGGTACATTGTAGCTCCAGAAACACTCTCTAAACATGAGAGAACTCAGTAGAAGACTTGCTGTCAAGCCATTCCAGTGAGAGCACTCCATAACTACAAGATGGTATCAATACAATATTAGCTCAACATCTTGGCAAAACTCCCCTTGCAACTGGATCTAACACATTTAAAATATTTATAACAGTTGTTCCTCTGGTCTGCACAGACTAGATCAAGACCATACAATCACATTGTCTGTATTACACTATTACTTTAGAGAATCTGCATCTTAAGAGTGTTTGTGGGAAGCCAGTCTTGTTGACTTACCCTGGTATTACAAAGACATTTAGTGCTACCAGAGCACTTGGGTCAAAGACTCAGTTTCTTCTCAGCCTGAAGACTTGACGTCCTAGCCATTAAGTAGCAGTTTTCAGACTACTTTGTCCTGCAGAGCAGTTGATGGAACAGCTCATATTTGAAGTGTCTCTTTTTGAAATTGCTCAGCTAACAAAGGGACTCGAACACAAGAGCTGGTACCCCACTCTTGGTGATTAAGGTACTGTATTGCACTGTAACACCTTGACAACTCTGGACTTCAGTGGACAAACAGTTTCCACCAAATAACAGTACTCTGCTGGCTGTCGTATAGAAGATAAAGCTTGTCCCCCCCCTCAAGCTGTTACTTTTATTCAACATGAGCTATCAAATACCTCCTGAAGTACTCAAGTCAGTTTGCAGAAATAGCATGAAGTTTCCACACTCTTACATGGTAGTAAAAGGAAAATACTTTAACAGATTGTTTCAGAACTCATTGCAGGACTGTGTTTTTGGCAAAAGTGTATCCAATTTCTAAAAGTTTCATAAAAAAAGTAGATTTAAGTTGGGAGGGGTGTTATTTGGTTGCTTGGGTTTTTTTATGTGGATAGGTAATTTTCCAAATCCAGTTGGCACAAGTCTAATATCTCATGTTCAAACAAAGTTACAGCTAGACAGGTAAAAAATAGCTTTTCACAATATTTTTAAGTAAGTTTTGTTTTCCAGGCTGATGTGCTATCTCATGTTGAAAGAACTTCCAGTTGTTTAAAAATACTGCAGTAGTACGAACTCGCTGTAAACCGTTTTCATGCTAGGATTTCAATTTCTGGGCAGAAATGCACAGCCTCACAGACTGCCTCTCTTAAAAGCCTGCAGGGTTAAATTTGGTTGTACTGGTGCAAGAACAAAGAGGCATTCAAGGAGCACGTGTGCGGGTTTACGGGTGATTTTTAGCTGGTTGCCTGCATCTACCAGTAGGACTTGCACTAGTGCAAGCAAACCTGGGTATAATTGAGAATGCTATGCCTGGCTTTGGATATAAAAAAAAAAAAAAAAACACAACTAAATTTTAAAGTTATTTCTGTTAAAAGCAGCTGCAACTTTTATTTTATAGACCAAAAATGAAGGCCCCACCCCCCCCAGTCATACACACACATATATAGAAAAGGCAAGACCGTTGTAACCATTCAAGTGAATGATATGGTGGGTGAACCTCCAAGACAAGTCATCTCCTCAGTACAGTACATCTCATTCACCACAGGCAACTCCACTCAAGTGCTACAGTCTCTTGTGTTAAAAGCCACACACACGCACCCCCACACACGCTCTACATGCATCATTTCAGGTCACTTTACTGCATATTTAAAATAATAATAAAGGTAATGAAAACATTGCAATGATACTCTTAGAGCAACAGAGGTCTGAGGCACTCAGGGCAGAGAAGACATTTTCTGGTAAATTTGGTTTTTGGTAGTACACACAAGTCCAGTTCTATGATGCACTAACCCCTTTCCCCCACCTAAATTCTGCAGTGCCAAGGGGAGGGAAGGGTATGCAGTACCTCATATGCTTGGGTCTAATGTGGAAACAAATTCACCAGACACCTTATAAAAGGTGTATTTTATGCCCATGATTGTATGATTTAACGTCTGCATTGGTTTAACTATTTCTTGCATTACAGTGGTGTAAGACTAAGTCTGCCATGGGGTCTGAAAAATTTTTCATTACAATTCGAAAGAAAAAATAAATTCCCTTAGCAGAGATGCCAAAGATGATGGAAAGGAAGTGGGCATGGGAAAAGAAAGGGTAGTGAGAAGAGAGGCTTAATCAATCCACACTCTATAACATGACAGTTTCCAGCTCATTGTGACCTATTAACAGAGAACAAAGGGCTACCTATACTAATGCTGCCTGCTCTACACTCAGCCTGAGGAAAAAAGATCAGTTTTCATAGCTGCCCCTGTAAGACTTTCCAAAAGCATGAAACTCACTTAACTGAGGGGGAGGAACAGGGGGAAAGACCTGTTTAAAAATTACCAAAATGAATACAGCACTGAAAGTGTTTCATTTTCTCTCACTCAGACTTGTTTTGAGATACATACTCATTTCACTTGTAAGTCTTGCAAATCCAATCCCCCACAGCTACTGTGGAGGTACCTTTAAAAAAGAAAAATGCCCCATGGTTAACACACAGGGGTCCCATGAATCATGGGACCTTTTTGGTTCTTGTTTCGTTCCTTTACCCAGGCAAGTCTGATACATCTGCTTCACCAAGCTTTTAGAGCAGGAGACTGCCTGCCACAACTGCTTTGCTGAGAAGCAGCTGATTCCAGGGAGCTGCATATAAGACAGAATTTACTAATTTTTCCCTGTAGGAAGCCCGTACTCTGAATCTCCAGCAAAAGAAACAAGTCCTGCCATTAACACAGCGTGTCACCTACAGTCACAATCACCAGAGGCCATCAGCACAGAGATGGGGACAGAACTGAAGGTAAGGTAGCCTATCCTGGGCAACATGCACATCTTTCTCCCTTCTGCCTCCTTCTCAACTGATAAACAAACAAGGCCTAGCCCATTAGAACAGTATCTGCAGAAGCAAGTCTTTGGAACTAGAAATGCTTAAAATCCCAGGTGCCACTCGCATACCAAGAGCAACAGGGCACACTGAAGTGGTGAAGAAAAACCTGGATCCCAAAATACCAAGTCCCAGTGGGAAAGGTTACCCACGCTTTTCTAGCTAATATGGCAGCGAGAGACACAACTGTGGGTCTACTTGGAAGAAAGGTGCTAAAGAGATAATTGAAGAAAAATAGCATGAGTGTGGTAGGTAGGAGGAAAGCAGTAAATTCTTTAAATTCTTTCCTGCTTTTCCAGATACTGGGTCAGGTTCTTCAAGATATTCCTCTCATCTACAATCACTGAGAACAAAATAAATGATGAAATCTCTCTATTCTGTACTCTTAAAAAAAAATGCATAGTACAGAGACAAAACCCCAGAGTCTCGTTCAGCGTGCCTGGCCAGCCCAGACTACCCCTGGGTCATGAAATGGGGCCGGGCGCTGTCCAGGCGGCGGGTGAGGATCTCGCAGCCGCCCTCGGTGACCAGCAGCGTGTGCTCGAACTGCGCCGATCGCTTCCCGTCCCGCGTCACCGCCGTCCAGCCGTCGGGCCACGTCTCGTCCTGCCAGCCCCCTGCAAACACAGCAGCACCCCTGAGCCGAGCCCGTGGTGGGGAACGAGTGTCGGCTTCCCCGGCGAGAAACGGAAACCCCATCACCCTGACAGAAGAGAACCGGCACCCCATGCCACCACTACTGAGTCAGTGGGCAAGAGTGACCGCTTCACCCTGTCACTCACCTTCACAGATCATTGGCTCAATTGTAAATACGTGACCAGGCTTCATGACTCCAACTGCCTTATTTTCTGCAATAAAAAAAATACTCAAGTTAGAAAAAGCGATCCCACCCACCTTAGTCCATGAATGAATCCTTGTCCTAGAAGGACAGGAATACTGTAAAGCCAGAAAAGCTCTTCAGAGATGACCTGTTCACTTGTCATCTTTAATTCTACGTTAAGATTTCACTCAGGTACTTCCTTCTCTCTAACACTGCAATAGTTACTCAAGGAGTTTAAAATTAATTGCTGTCTTCCTCTCCAACACTCCGGTTCTGTAAAAACACTGAACAAATGTAACACAGAAATTTCTGTAGACTTCTATACTGAAAAACATCATTAAAACAAAAATCAGTGAAACTAAGAAGCACTTGAGATACTTCAGAGAAGGCCTGAAATCTCTTAACTGAACCATTAGCTACAATAAACTGTCCAAATATGATAGCAGCTAAGTAATCCCATTATTCCATTTATGAAAGGCACATTGCCCCTCTCATTACTCTGGGTAATTAGGTTGCAGTAGTGTCAGGGTGATAATGCTGTATTTCTGTAGCTAACATAAAAAGGCAGAGACTTTCAAGGCATCTAGGACAATACTGGAACTTTTTGATGTTATATACACCAAAAACGTTTATGTGGAGGTGCATGAGCTGATGCACTGCATGTCTCTAGGAGTGTAGTGTGACTGAGGAAAAGTTCCAGCCCTGTTCCTCTGCCCTGTTTCACCCTGAGTGGCAGTGCAGCTGACATCTGACTCAGCCCGGCACACGACAGCTGGAACAAACTCCAGGACTGCACAGGAACCACGAGATCCAAGCTGCTCTGCTGTGGTATACAGCCTGTCCATCCCCCAAGTCTACTCCAATTCCATAAACTGTCTAAATCACCTAGATGGTTTAAAAATATCCAAGCTGCTCTGCTGTGGTATACAGCCTGTCCATCCCCCAAGTCTACTCCAATTCCATAAACTATTACACTGTCTATATCACCTAGATGCTTTAAAAATCTCAGCTGCAAAACTGACAACAGCAACCAGAATAATTTTGTTTCACTCAAAGGGTTTTGCTTTTATCTCCATCATCTGCTGGTACTTCTTGCTCTCAACACTCATGTTTGAGTTTCTTACCGTCTGCATCTGAACAAACATTGTCCTTAATTCCCTATAGTTTTCATGATTTCGTTAAATAATTTAAAGGGTTATAAAATGAGCTTTTTGCTTAAAAAAAATCCTTTCATAGTAAGCCAGAAATAAAGCAGCGGATTTCACTTTTTTTTCCCTCCAAGAGGCTTTAAGTCCCTCAGGTCTTCCCACTTTGCTTTTGCTGTGAATCTGTATTTTAAAATGCCAGGAAAAACAAACAAACAAACAAAAAATAAAACAAACAAACAAACAAACAAAAAACCAACAACAGCATCTACCTTTTTTGGGAACAGATATTTTGGCTCAATTTAAAAAAAAATTAAAAAGTAAAAGAATTTCAAAGTTCCCAACAGCCAGAAAAGGCAGAAATGTTCTTTTTATCAGATTGCATTTCAATTGATATAAAATGTCCTCCATCTCCAAAGAATCCAGATTTTCTTCATTTCACATGACAAAATGCAAATACCAGGAATTGATACCCTTCTACCCTGTGATTAATAGCTTTTTTTCTCTGCTCTTTGAAAAAAATAACTTAGGAAAATGATGACATGAAGGGAAATGAAAAATCAGGGATTACTAGATTATAATCTCTAACTACAACCTGTTTTAAAGCTCATTAGGAAATGTGAAGATGGAGGCATCTGTCATGCCTGAGGAAATAAACGTTCTGTCAGGGGAGCTCTGCAGCTGAAGTGGGTGTGAACTGTTTATCACTGCCTCATGCTATTTATTTTATCCTCAGTTATTCACCGGCACTGAAGCGTGTCTCATTTCCCTCTGTGGATGCTGATTTCTTAATCCTACTGGCAAAAACTGTAATTTCCAAAAACTAAAGCTGAAAATCTGCTGGGGGAAGGGTTGTTCCTCCTCTGCCACATATTACAAAGAAGTTTCCAGGAACACAGGATCGCAACACTCACAAGAAAAGTCAAACATAAGAAGATCCAGATGAAGGGACAACACCCATATATACCCTTCAAAAAGCCTTTCAGATCTGGAAACAGCAGTAAATTTTTGCTTAAACCTTCAAAGGAGAGAAGCATTTACCCACGCGTGTCAGACAAGGACATCTAAGGGATTACTTGGGACTTCAGGAAAAAACGTTTGAGCACTTAGCCAGCACAGATGAAAGCAAACACTAACTTTCAGTGCAGGCACAGACTCTCTCAGTATATAACATATTCACCTTTTCAGGTTCATAAAGCCAGTCCAGAGTTCAGAAAAATATTATTTCACAGGTCCAAATATGCTAACTTGATGGCTGTTAGGCAACATGCTACTTTATCAGAACATAAGCAAGAAGTAAATTGGGTGGCTTCCCTGCAAACCACTTCTTGCCTACAGGGCAGCCCAAAGGGAAGGAATACTCACTGGCATAATGTGGCACGTTAGGGGCCGTATGGAAAAGTTTATGGATCCCATGTCCGCAGTAGCTCCGAACCACTGAAAACCCGTTCGCTTGAGCGTGTTTCTGAATAATGTTTCCCAGCTCTCTGTACCGAACACCAGGTTTTACTGCAAAATTAAAGAGAGACAGATGGAACTTTGTAGAGCTTTCTTTCAACATAACTTCCAAACACCACTCAGGCTGGTACCTCTGCAGCACCCGTGGCTCGTATGGCCATCTGTTCCAGTGCGCAACCTCCTGCGATACTTCATCCACCGGGTATGCGAGTGGAATGAACATGAGAGAGGGAGGAAACAGTCTCATACAGAAACGATAGAAGAAGAAAATTTTTTCACAAGAACACTATATTCTTCCTTTTGTGTATGTAAGTGCTGATATATTAAAAGGATGTTGTAGTTTGAAATTAAAGACAAGAGACTTTTAAAGAACTTGTTAACTTCTCATACCCAGAGTTGCAGTGCTTCTTTCAATGAGCGTATGAACTATATTTTAATATACACATCTCTCTACTATGTGAAAATAAAACAAAAATAAAGAGCAAAAAGGATTAAACGTGAAGAACTGAGAAGGGAGGGTGGGGAGGTGGCAAATCTCTCTACTCTTAGACAAGATTTTTAGTTGCAGTGCCACAGCAAATAAGAATGTCCATATGCAGGACTAACTTTTTTGATAATCCTTTTAGGAAGATTTAAAGTGTTTGAAACATGTAATAATACCATAAAAGAATCAATGCCTCATCCATGCCAGCTAATGAAGATGCATACCAAAAGCAACCTCAAGTCACTAAAAAGAAAAAAAGAATGTAAATGCTCTCTCAAAATTATCCACAGCTCCCTGAATATACGCTGTTCCTTCAGGAGTCAGATACTGTGTGGTAATGTAGAGTCACCTTAAGCACAGCCCACATACTTAGCTTAAAACATTATGTGAAACAAGCCATTTATTTCAGTTAATGTTTACATTGATAATGGAAACAACTACAACTTAAATCAGTAAGATGAATTTCCAAAAAATAACATGAAATTCAGATTACTGAAATATGCATGCTTTTCCTCAAATTAAAAAAAAAACCACACACACAAAAAAACATCCCAAACACGACATGGTGGGAAAGAGGGAAAGTTAATCTGTTGGTTTTGCCCTAAATACTCATTCATCCCAATAGAGTCAGGAGCCCTCTGCTTCTCTGTCTCACACAACTCTCCTAGTCAGAGCTCTTCTGGTTCAATGTCAAGAAATTAAGATGATTTAAACAGGGGAGAGGTGACACGCTTTAAACAGCTGAGACACTTGCTGCCAGAATTCCTACCAGCAGGGAGTGTCTAAAACCCATTAAAACCTGTTACAGCATCTAAAATGTTAGTGAAAAGTTACACTGAGAATTTAAATCTTATTATAGTGAATGCAAAAGTGAATTTCTGTCATAGCTGATACATCAAAGCCAGGATATGAAAGGTAAGAGACAACACATAATATTTGCTGTAAAAAAATCTACAGGAGCAAAGATAAGCATTACTCTGATTTACCTCTGAAAAACAAAACGGTCATTTCAGAATAGTAACCTCACATAAATAAGTAATCTATATTCTTCACAGGCCAACTTCAGTATTTTCTTCATTACACAAGAGATACAGAAGACATCATTCATATGAATTTTTGTCTTTCCAGCTTGGCTATCTGCAAATTACTAATCAAAGTGCATTACTTTTTTTTTTTTTTTCCATTTTGCATTTAATCAAAAGTAGTTTAAAGCCTTCATATATAGCACCTTAAAAAGTCAGTCTTTAGAGGCTACAAAGTGAGTAAATTTTACTGTGAATTTTAAGAAGCTGTAGGGTATGAAAGATATGGATGATAAAAAATTTACAGGGATGTTGGGAGATACTTTGTTTTGTTTTCTCTGTTTGTCTAAGAGAATTTAGTATATTCCTTTGTGAATGAAGGTGAACATGAATATCTAGCTACCTTTCTGTCTCTGGTGCGTCTCGATGACGCTGTCCTGTGTTGTATCTAAGCAACATTAACTAAAGTTCTGTGGGTACTGAAGGACATGGACTCCCACAGCAGAATATAATAATTAGCTCTATGAAACAACCATCAGGTTCAGGAGGGGTAAAGAGATAGGTGTAAGTGTTCAAACAGTGCTTTACCTTATTGGGTCATTGTGCAACACCATACAAATCACAGAAGTAGGAATACTTTTACCCGTACTTTTGGGTTTCCAAAATGTTCTCTTCCCTACTCAGATCAAGGGTATCTTACTCATCTAACTGATAGTTTGAAAAGCCTTTTTCCATGTGAATATAGCCATCTGTGGATCAGCTCAGCATCAATTACACTTTCCTTGTGAAACCACATTTCAAATAAAAGTTGCAGCCGCCACCCACAGCACTATGCCACTTGAAGAATCCCTGTATTATACATCATGTGCTGGTGACACAAACTTCTGTGTTCTACAACAGAACTCACTCCTGGGTAGCAGCAAATTCAAGCATTTAAATTTGAGAACCCAATCCATAATGCCTCAGGCCCCAGCCACAGGGTTTACCTGCATCGATGGCTTGCATTAGGCACTCGTAAGTTGTCTGGACAAGCCTCCTGGCGCCCTCATCAACTTCTCCAACATAAAAGGTCTCGTTCAGATCTCCATGGTAGCCATTACGATAGACAGTAATATCCACTGCAAAGAACACCAGACATATTGTAATATTAGCACTGTATTTGTCAGTTCTTGCCTCTCAATTTGTGAAAGCACAAATACACACACATAAAAAACATAGTGTTGTGATTCTGAAGTTATATGATTACTTTGGAAGAATTTCAGATATAAACTCTTCCAGCAGAATCAGTTCTCTTGCGCTTATCCTGTAGATTCTATAGAATTAATTAATAAGATTGTGTTTCACTGGTCAATAGTTTCATTTAATAACAACAACAAAAATAGGAAAAAAAACACCAGTGCAACACAGACACAGCAAGATTAGGGTTGATCTTGTTGGTAAATATAAAAACAGGAAGGAGAAGCTCTTTGCTCCATGGTGACTTACCTGGTTAAAGTATTTTCTTAGAATTAATTCCAGCACTAATAGGGGCAAATTAAATTTAAAAGGCATATAATCATGTTTTAACCCATATTTGAACTTCATGCATGTTTAAAATAGTAAGTAACACCTTTGCAAAACCTGTAATTCCAAAACCCATCGTTTCCAAACAGGTAAAATTTCTTCAACATTAAATACACCGCAATTTTCCAATAGTATTCCTGACCAAGAAAAATACACCAAGTGACTTAGAACTTTTTCTTTTTTCTTTCAAATGAAAGAATTCAAACATTCAGTATCAGGCAAACAGCAAGAATAAGAATGGCATGCTTAAACAATTGAGGTTTGGAAGAACATATGAGTTTAGAATTATGTTGCAGCAAAACTCTAACTTCTTTGCTTTGTGTACAAAGTTGGTTGTAAACTAAAAGTGATATGACACTATTGAAAAATAGCACCATAAATAGTTTTAATGAGAAAAAATATTTTATAATTTAACTGATTAAAAAAAATTTTTTGGGAGGATTAAGAACATCCATACAAGATGCTTGTTGCAAATAGTCCTTTTACAAAACAAGGGAACAGGTCTACTTGTTTAGACACAGCTGTTATATATTCTAGTATCCTGTCTCACATAGCAGATGAGTAAAAAAAAATAAAACCTGCCATCATGCAGTTATTATATGTAGGAAACACATACAAAACATTCTAGATTTGTATAGGAAGTTGAATTCCTGTGGCAGAATGGGTACTTTTGTGTCTAACAGACTTTGTCAGTAGTCTGGTAGGTCTAATAACTGCCAATAAAGTACCAAAACCACCACAACGGATACTGAACTGCTCTTCCTGAGGAAATCCATACCCTCACAGGGAAACAGCCATGAAGGAAATGGTACTGAGCAATAATACTTTATGAATATGGTAGATGAGCCACTTAAGAGAGACCAGTCTCGATAGGAAAACACAGGTAAAAAATAACCACTGGTGTCCACAGTAAACCCATACTTCTGGCAAACATTTTGGAATGCAATGAACACTGTACTCCCTGCATGACTCTGTGGAACACCCAGAACACCGTGAGCAGTGTACTCAACGAGAGGGCTGTCCCAAAAGCAGCTCCCTGGCACAGCAGAACATACAGGTACATGCGTCTCTCAGCAGTGTCGGGATCCTACGCACAGGGACCAGACTGCAGAGGCTGCCTCTACAGGCCACAGGATGACAGGTCTTTCTCCTGGTGCTGCCAGGTTTGGCCACAGAGATCAGCTCTGGCTGAGAATCTGCTCCCAGGGAACAGTACAGTAACAAAACGTTGTGCTGCCCTGCTCGGAGCAGGGGCTTGGACTCGGCACCGCCTGCCAGTACCTTCTGCGTGGCGTACTCCTACGAGTCTAAAAACCTGGTCTGGGCTCTGACATGGCCACCTCTGCCTTCTAGTGGGCTAAAAAGTTTCAAGTAGAGAGAAGTGCCCATCTTTCTCTTTATTGTTTACTGAGCACATTCCCTCCAAAGTACTTTTTCCTATCTCCTCCTTTGCACCCCGTTTTCATTCTCCTTTTAAAAACGTTTTTGAGCCACTAACTTACCAAAAAGAAGCCTACAAGATTTGGAAGCCTTTTAAGCCCATGAGGAACACATTCAATCCACAAAATGTGGACTATTTTGTAGCAAGAGCTACTCAGCTACAGATCAGTAAACTAGTTCTTCCTCAACAAAACAAAGCAGAAGGCTCAAAGCTTAGGCAAGTGCAGTCAGGTCATGGATGTGAAGAAAGGATGTGACTAAACCCTCCTACAAAAGGTGTTTTCTAGTGCTGAGGTGCAGCTTCTGCATGCAAAGAGTGGAGAGGTAAGGCACCATGTAGATGAAGGCAACCTAGTAAGCTTTGTTTTTTGACAAAAAAATTTTTATTGCCAAACCAAGAAAAAAATGAATAAGAAAACAAAAAACAGTCAAGTAATTCACAAAAGCATCCTTCAACATCCAAGAAGCTGTAAGTACCTTGAGAACCATGAAGGAGAGGAAGCTGGTACTCCTGGGCCATAAGATGCTCAAAAAAAGGGATGTTTTTTAATATGCACCTATACAAAGACTCACCATTAAGATCCTTTACAGTCATCATAATGGCCATGTTCATTGCAAACTGTTAAAAGATCTAGAGCCATCTAATTAAGAATTTGAAAACAAAAAACAGTCAAGTAATTCACAAGGACCATCCTTCAACATCAAGAAGCTGTAAGTACCTTGAGAACCATGAAGGAGAGGAAGCTGGTACTCCTGGGCCATAAGATGCTCAAAAAAAGGGATGTTTTTTAATATGCACCTATACAAAGACTCACCATTAAGATCCTTTACAGTCATCATAATGGCCATGTTCATTAGATCTTTTAACAGTTTGCAGAGCCATCTAAGAATTTACACAGACCTAATCCAGTTAAATAATTCAATAGACATCTTATTCACTGTTTATATAGTCTGAAACAGCTGGAACCTAGCCCACAAGTGGAATACTCAGGCACTACATGATGCACAGACCAGGGCAGAAGAATTATAAAGCTCCTAAAGTGGGCCAAACTTCTGAAATAGTTTCATTAAATAAACTCATTCATTTAAATACATAAAGAGCAGAGGTCAACTGGTAAATGAGAACAAAAGCTCCTCTTCGTAAGCTGTTCCAATCACGTTGCCTGCTAGTGAGACCTCACCTTACTGCATGGTTTAGCTGGACAGGAGGTAGGAATGTTGAAGGTTAATTTTCATGGCACTTACCATTAACAATATCTCCCTCCTGCAACGGCCTCCTGTCAGGAATTCCGTGACAGATCACTTCATTCACTGACGTACAACACGACTTGGGGAAATTATAATAATTCAGGGGGGAAGGATAGCAATTCCTTGCGATACAAGCCTAATTTAGAAAATACAATTTACACTTTACATCAGTAAGTCTTGTACAAAGAGAAAACATATGCACAACAGCTTTACAGCAAGAATGACAGGTTGAAAAGCAATGATTCTTGAATATAAGCTTTTTCAAGCTCAGTTTTTTTGGCATGATGGTACCTTGTTACGCTTTGCTTTTCTTACCAGGAAGAAAATAAAGCTACTTTACTTTGTTTCTATTCATTTTTATGTTTGACTACCAATGCTGAAACATTCAGATTTAAAACAACACATGGCAATTTATTCAGTTAAAAACTTGCCATTTTCACCTACTGGTTTTAAGCATCTGGTCTAAGTCTTCTTGTAAAACACACAAGCCAGATGAAATAACGTTTAGCACCACCCTTTTCACCTCTAGCTTTTAAAACCTTAAGCTGCTTCCTTTGCACTCACTCTAATGACCTGTTTGGGATTTTCACAAAACTGGCACATACATGTTATATGTAGTGATATATACATACATATATACACTATGTGACATACTGAGAAATTCTGGAAAAATAATTCTGTGTTAACTTTTTTTAATTTAAAAAAATAATATTGTTTTAAAAGTGCAAGTACCAGTTAGGGTTATGGGGCAGTATCAACAATCTGCCATGCAAAAGTTTCTAAAAACTGCCGAGGAGGGATGACACCATTTTAACTACTAGTTGTTTGTATTACATATTATGTATAAGCAAATAATTTAGCATTTAATGCAGTTCTGCAGAAATCACCGACCTCATCAAACAAAAGCTCCTCATAATCTTGGCTCAACAGATGCAAATGCAGACACAAAACCCAACAATCAGAAAGCCCTCTAACAAATTTAACTATACCAAAATCGTTGCCCTCCCCACAGCACACACAAGGATCCTCAATTATCAGTTTACATGCCTTATACAGAAGAGACCAAAGAAAAATAAAAGTTACACAATTCAAGTATATGTGAATAGTTAAACCAGGAAACTACTTGAACATGTATTTCAAATACTTTGGTGGATTGCGGCTTTAGTTTGCCTCACTGCATCAAACTTCTTGTTTCAATTTTCACTCAGGCTCCTCAGTTCTGATTCCCAATCATAAATAATTAAACTTTCTGCTCTGTACATCTTAACTAACAACACAGAGCACAAGAAGTCCATGACCTACATCCACTATTCTTTATATAATGGCATCTGTGGAGCAAAACGTGTTTAGAATAAAGAAAATTATACAATGTTAACCAAGAAAACAGGTGAAGAAACTTCAGAAATCTGAAGCTGGAAATCGTGAAAGGAGCTGATACAGACAGAGGCTCATGAGTTTCTACTAATTTTGAACCTAACATTGTGCTGTAACATATTTCTAACATCTGCACTACCCGCTAGCTTCAAACTGAGAAACAGTTCAAAATAAAGAAATGGAATTCATGTAACAACAAAGAAAGTCACATAATATAAAAAAAAATATAGAAGAAAGCACTTTAAAACACCAAAAGGAGAAAATAGCCTTACTAAATGAACAGCGTGATCAATTTCTTCAGTGGTTACACCTGCTTTTACCATCATGGCAGCAACATCCAATACTTCTCTAGCAAGCTGCAAATGAAAGAAAAGCACTTTATTAGAACTTTTGTACTAATTTGTACTAGTGTTAATACAAAAGATTTAAAATTAAACCAGGACTAAAATCCCTAGCAGATTAGCAGCCCATCTTCCACAGCTACACCAAGGCTGCTCAGAAAGCCGGGTGGACTCAGGCCCCAGGAAGAATTCAAGATGTCTACAGGTTGTACAACTAACCCACCTCTGTGAGATCTGGCATAAATACATTTCAAAGTTCAACTTTATGCAGGAGGAAGTGACTACAACTGAACAGCTCTATGTCAAAAAATTGTTAGGGACAGGGCTCTGTTTTGCTTTTTAATTTTTGTTTCGGAAAGGAAAAATTTCTGTTGTCATTTATGCACTATAAAATGTATTATCATCAGTAATAATGCTTCAGCCACTGACTATGTCACTAACAACAACAAAGCAAGAAAACAGACTAAAGTGATTTTTCTGCTTGCAAAATAGTTTACTTTGAATTGGGAGTCTCAGAAAAAGCAAGAAAACACCAAATTTCCCAAGAGATTTTTCAGTGCTCAAAAGTGGTTTTAAAGTTTGTGCTCTCAAATGTGCTGTCACAAACTAGTGAAATCACTATAGATTTTTAAGGAATGAAAGGCACTTTGTAATGAAAACCAAACCCCTCTTACCCTACACACTACTCGCATCCCTTCTATATCCTCAGATGAGAGTATTTTTATTTGAGAGGTTCCTTTTAAAGCCTGTTCTGATTCAGACATTCCTGAAAAAAAAAAAAACAGCAGAGGTGAAGAAAAAAAGGAAAACACCATATTATTTAGAGAAGTGATTGCTACACATGCCCTATCAAGGAACTTAGCTTACCAATGGTAACAAAGGACATACTATCTCACCATAGACTAAAGTAACGAACTGACCACTATCATCATCATCATCATCATCATCCAGATGAATTTGAGTTCATAAGCCCTCCACAACATTGTATGCTCACATGTGCTCAGGATGCCCATTCACTGCAAAAAAACATCATGTCCAGTTTGTCAAAATACCACCTTAAAAATCAGATTGATAAGGAAATCATTTTATGCATATGTTTTTTTTTTAAACTTCTTTGGAGATAAACAGTAATAATTAATATTATTAACTGCATAAGCTTGTGAATATCTCTAGTTATACTACAGCAATAATCCCGCTGATGAAAATATGTAAATTCATCCTACCAAATTCTGTGCAAGCTCAGTTTTACAGTGGAACGACCACCTAAAAGACAGTATTTTGTGTTGTTTATATATTTACTTTCTGTAAAGAATAACTAAAGAATGGCTGAAGATTTCAAAATCATTCTAACAGACGTCATAGCAGCTGTTTTGGGAAACGCAAAGCACCAATACAAAAAGCCAAAAATACCAAAAGAAACCAAGAAGCAAGTAATTTGGAATATATCCCCTTCTATGTCCAAAAATAGCTGGAATGCATATATCAGGGTTCTTTTGGGAGTCACTTACTGCAGTTTTGTTTGGTTTTGTTATTTTATAACACATTTCAAACCCTTACACTGATGGGTGTAGCAGAATTCACCTGTGGTAGACAAACCACTGCTGTTTGTTATGAAATTAACCACAGGGCTAGGACTTGCATGGCTTTTTTTTCTTTTCTTCCCTGAACACTTGAAAGATAACGTATTACAAACTTCTGACTTCCAAAAAATACTTGTAATCCTTATTTCTAAAAGAACCAGCAAGTTCATGTGAGGGAAGAAGAGGTAGAGTGAGAAGAAGCAGATAAAAGAAAACATTCCCTTTTCCACTATCTCCTTCATACTTTAAAGGCATTGTCAATTGAAAGAAAAATAGAAAGCAAACATAACACTCCATAATGGTGATTTGTTTCAAGTTACCTAGTGGGTGATCAGCATAATCTGGTCTCTGAATGTAACTTGGCACAGGTCTCGTTGGCGTCTAGACAGATCATAGTCAAAGGTGGTTAGGTTAGGTTGCAAGAATAGTTATTATAGTCACAGAAACAGAGATTCATGCAGCAAAATTAAATACAGTGAAATATGGCTAATTCCACTTGGAAGAAGTTGCAAAGTATGCAAACATTCCAAAACAGTTCAAATTTTCATTTCTCAAAGATTCTCCTGTTACTCTTTATTGGTCTCATGTTATACAACCTCTAACAGCCAAAATCACAGCCTTGTAAAAGTCACACTTTTCTGCACCAAGTAAATGAAATTAATACAATATCTCTCTTACATCACAGTATTTATTCTTCTGCTTTCCAGACTGCAAATGCACTGGTTAGAAACAGATTCTTGCCTCCTCTGGTTATTAGTGTCTATTAGCAAGATTATTACTTCTAAACATCACCCCAGTCATTAGCACTTTTTATTATCATTTCATTTGCATCAATCCTACAGCAGTCAGAAGACAAAAAAGTAAATGTTCAGCAATAACACTACAAACACCCTTTCTGCACCGAGATTAACAAGCACATGTGAGCTCAGGCTCTGTTAGTCCTGTTCTCTGATGAGCCTGTAACAACAGACGGAAAAGACCACAGAGAGGATGCCACAGGGGCAGCATCTCTAGCACAGGCCAATTAGAAAAGACACATGTAAATAAAATGCCATTATGGATGTAAAAAATTTAGCTTATTCCATGTACAGATATCTACCAATTTAAAAACACAGCTATATTGATATCATCTTCTAACTCCACCTTTCAGAGCTGAACGTGTTACTGACCTCAGTTACTCTTCACCATTCCAGTGCTGGAGAACATTACAGAAGGAACATCCCCTGCTCCTTCAGCAGAGCTGTTCACCAGCTTACTCACCAGGTTATTTCAAACTATTTAACACCAAACCACTTACGTAAATTCTAAATTAATTCACCTGAGTTTTTCAAAACAGACTGCTCCATTATTGGTGAGAACAGTAAAAAGCCAGGAGAAGACATCATCCAAACTAGCAGTAGCCTTTTGCAGGATTTATGCCAAAATGTACAGCCAAAAGGTGTGAGCTTAAGCCTGTTACTGACATGTGTGACCTCACGGGTGCCTCCTTAATTTTAAGTATACCAAAAGATCAATCACTTCAAATGAAGCCAAAGCACAGTAAGGACACAGTCATACATATGCTTGCAATCCAGTTCAGATGGTTTAAGAAGCTTTCCTCTTCTCAGCTAAAATCTGGGAGGTAACCTGGTCAGGACTGGTGCATTAGTTGGTACAGAATGCAGCAGCTCTGGAGTACAGAATGGCACCCATTGCTCACCAGAGGGTAGTGTGGCCTGAGTTTACCCGTGTATCGATAACCAGACCAGGGGTTTGTGTTGACGTCGCCTTCCAGGGTCCAGGAGGAAACTTCACGCTTAGCTTTTTCATCTTCTGCAAAGATGAGGGGAAAAAAAAAAAAGAGGAAAACAAAACAAAAGAAAAAGCTACAGCAAAATCAGTCCTACTAAGTGTAAAAACTACGAATTCTGGAAAATTACTTAGTAGTACCTAAGCTTAGATTTGACTCCTTCTGGCATTTTAGATACTGGTATAGGAAAGTATAAGTAGCAGTTATTTTCTATTGCCCTTAGGTTTTTCACATTCAAAATTCACATTCTGCCAACTTTGTGTTTATTGAAGAGCAAACTGGGGAAAGTCAGGACAGCATTACTGAACACACAAATGAAGTGTAGTTAAGTTGCCCTTCATTTGTAGTTCTCAGACACAGTACTGTGCTTGTTTTCATTCTTGGGAAAAAGGTGTATTTCTACAGAAACACTCATCATCCCTTCAAAAAACACTCTTGCACCATAGGTGAATGCTCCTTTTCTATGATTTCTCTTAGCATTCAGTGACAGAAATGACCTAGGGTGGGGAGGAGGGTATTCAAGTTTCAGGACATGCCCAGGTTGCAACATATGGCTCCTGCTACCCCTCCAGATCCAACAGATAGAGTGGAGGTGCTGCCACTTCTGCATTTCAGGACAGGCAGGGTCTGCACCTTACAAGATGGCCACAGTCTGCTGGAGGTTCCCAGTTCTCTAGACCTTGTGAAATTCATGTCTGATGTGGTCCAGTGACTGACTTCACTCACAAATTAACAAGCTCCTAACAGGGCAGATTGAAAGTGTTTACCTAAAGGATAGAAGCAAGTGGACAGTGAGTATTGCCAAAAGGAAAAACATTTAGTGGGGAAAAGGAGGCAAGGGCTAAGAAAGAGCACAGCAGCATTAATCTTTAACTCATAACCCGATAACTTGTTTTCTCTTTTTATATCTCACAAGAAAAAGGAGATGGCAAAAGTTCTGTCATAGCAAGCCCTGACATGAGCTCCTCAGTCTCTGTAGCTGACATCTGAGCCATCTGTTGACATGACATTCAGTTTAGATGAACCACTGAGAAACAATAATTTAAAAACCCAAACTTTTAACAAAGCAGTATATTGGATTCCATTGAGATGCTTCAGTAGTTTGTTGCATTGAGCTCTTGAGGGCCACCAGAACCCAACCAGCTCAGCTCAGGCTCAGCAGTTATCCAGGAAGCCAACAAGATCATGGACTTAGTGGAATAATAAAAAAAATCTGCTGTCAGATAAACAACAGCATCAGAAGACTGCACCAGAGGATTACTAGAACTACCAACAAAGACAGTCTCACAGCCATGCAGGTACAAAGCAGCAGGATAGAGAAGGCAAGTGTGAACTATGAGAGCCCTACACAGGGAAGGCAGAGAGAAGAAAAACGTTTGTAATTGTCTCTGCTACTCCAACCTATTAACCATGCCACATTTATCACAGAAAAGAGAGTTTTATTGGGTTTTAGGAAAGGAGGAGGTAAATTACTCAAGGATTTAAATTTCTGCCATGCTACTTTTAGCAGAGGATGTTAGAGCCCTAATGGCTCAATGGTTGGACTTGATGATCTTGGAGGTCCCTTCCAACCTAAAGGATTCTATGATTCTACTGGATACTTACTTTTTAATCCCACCTCCCCTTTGAAGCAGGGCTTGATGAAGACAGGCAGAGGAATGGGGGGGAGGAGGTGGCAAAGAGGGGCTCTCTCTTTTTGTTTCATTTTAATCTCATGGATTATTTTCACTGCTTGAGTAAGGAAGAATCTACCAGTCTACTAGTACAGGGCTACCCTACCAGCTGTAGCCACTTGCACCAAAGTAGGCAGCTAAGGCACTTACACTAAACTCCCTTGTACTAAAGTCAGCAAGATCCTAGCTATGACACAACCTCCTACCAGTGGCTGCATCAGTGCACAAAAGCATTTTTCTCTTTTTTTTTCTTCCCTCCGAAAGGGGACACCCTGGCTCACCTGCACTCCATCAGCCATCTAATCACAACGACTTCACAAGAACCTTTCCCACATTTTACTACAATAGACATCAAAATGCTAGAATGGAACAAGCCTGCACTGTCTTATAATAATACTCTGTTATTCTTCTTGCCCTTTATTTCAGCATCCCTCTTTCTCTGTTCATATAGCTGGCAATGTAGCTCAAGGAATATTTCACAGAAACAGAAAAGGAAACAGAAAGATTTCTGTGCCACTGTCTCTGAAATCTAACACAGATATTTAGACAGCCAGGAGGTGGACCAAATTTCAGATATGAGCAATCTAGTGCCAAGTATCTTGGAAAAATCCATATCATTCCTTGACACAAAATCATAGAATAGTTGAAGTTGGGATGGACATCTGACAGTCATCTGGTTCAATCCCTAGCTCAAGAAAGGCCACCTAGAGCCAGCTGCCCAAGACAAAACAAATTCAAAATAGTATTAAAATGAATGGAAACAAAAATTTACTTACTTGCTTTCTTGTGTAATAACTTGTGAGTGGCCCAGCTTCCCTTAAAGCATTCCTAGAATTGCAAACAAAATATATATATATGTATGTTTTAAGTAGCATTATCCTGGAAAGACATGCTATCCCTACAAAACAGAGAAGCAACTGTATTTTGAAAGAAAACTAGAAGACTGATTTTTATTAACCCTTGTAGCAACATGCAGTAAATGCTACTATAACTGCTAGTCTCAACAATAGAAAAAAACCAAATTCAACAGCTCCCAAGCCAGGCTGGACAGAAAGCATCAAACAGATGCACCCACCACAGTGAAACACGCTGATCTAGTCCTAAGTATTGTCCCCTTATAGTTTTAATGAGTAACTAAATGCCATTGTTGCTCTGGATTGGCTGAAACACAGTCTACCAGATCTCACAGTCTTGCAGTGGGCAGGATGGTCCTCCCTTGGCTCCTACAAGAAACCATCTCCTCCTGCTAATTGCGGCCTTTCTGCATCCTTCCCCAGCACAGGAAAGCAACAGAGGCCAATCAACACGATCACAGGAACAAATTAAACAGATCTTGGGGGGAAGGGGAGGGAAGTGAGGGCTACTGAACGGAAATAGAAAATGGAAAAAAAAATACAAAGTTGAAATTAAAGTCAAGAAAAGAGTGACTGTGAAGGAGTTTGTCTTTTTCTCTTCTTCCCAAGCACAAATAGAGCAGTTCATGCAAAAAACTATGAATCAGCAAAGAGGCAGATGGAAACAGCTGGCAGAGGGAGAATAAAAGGAAGACTAAGGTGAAGACATGAAAAAAACCAAGAGATTTCAGTAGAAAACCTGCAGACTGCAGCATTAAAGGTGATCCTCTAAGGTGCCAATTATGAAATTACTTGGTTTTCTAGCAGAAAGTCTAATTCAATGGCCATGTGCACTCAAAAGAACCATTAGGAAACACCTAATTACAACCATTCACTGCTACAGCTGAGTTTCTGGAGAAAGAGGCAGGAAGCAAACTGCTTTCCTTTGTAAGGAAAGGCAATACTAATGCTGAGTCATCACTGCAAAACTACCATCCCCAGCCAGCCACTGATCCAACCTCACCTATACAACACCCAACCGGTCCAAGACAACAGATCTGTAAACTCAGCCTGGCGTGCAGCATTCCACCCCGGCTGCATAGTTGCAGTCTTAACTGTCTGCTCCTCTAGAACCACCTTCTCCCCATTCTCTCATGGGCCTTGCAACCACTAGTTACCAAATTGCATCAACAAAAACACAGTCAAGTGTTGCACAGTCATGCCTATGTTCAGAGAGACCCTGCTGTGTGCTAGTTCCCTCATTACCAAAACCAGTTGCTTGTTGTCTTCTCCTACACCACGTACTTGAAGCCACCACATTCTCTGAAGTGGCACTCGAAGTGCCCTGGTCCTATGCAGTGGTCTGGGTAACATGAGGCTTTGATAAACGACACTTTAGATTACCAAAGAGCATGTCTTTCTGAGCAAACACCGGGAGGTTTTAGCCTCACGCTTGTATAACCCACTGCATACACAGACCTCTGCACTGCACTACCACCTGTTCTCTGTTGCAGAGCTGAGAGAAAAGGAGCAGGTTTTAACTGAGGACTGTTTTAAGAAAAAAATTTAAAAGCTAAAAACCCTGCCTCAAGGGCACTAGAAGCACCTGTATGGTTTTAGACCCCTTTTAAACACCAGCCCTCTCTTCTGAAGCAGGAGGATTACACAGCAAAGGACTTAGAGCAGCTACCAAGCCTGCAAATCTAGAATCCACTTACTGAGATATAAAGGAGCATTTGGGGAATGAAGACATACATCAGCTGTGGTAATTACTGCTTGTAGCTCATTCTCTCCTTCCCCATGAAGTTTTTTTGGAGTCTATTTTCCAATGCCATTCCTTCTCTGACATCAACAGTCTCTCCTCTTTGCTGGCCCATGTCCAGGAAACACCAGGCAAACACGGCACCACCGGCAGTATCATATCCCGACAGGCTCCATTTTGTTGTGTTGTTTTATTTCCTGCAGCTGTAAACAACCTGAGAGGACCCTCCACAAGGCTGCCATATGCCTGAGCTTTCCCAAACCCATTTCCCAGATTTTAGTTGCCCTCTTGTTCCAGAGGAACACCAGATCCATCGGAACTACTACAGCACAGCTCCAAACAAGCTACTGTGCACCGGGGCAGCTTGGACACGTGGACTACAGGCACATCAATCAACTGCAATGAGTACACACAGCAAGTCCAAGGCACCTTTGTGAGCAGGGGCTAGCACACATGCAGTGTGCAGTCCATGACTATCTCTGTCCTGGTCTGATGGCTTTTGGAAGGTGCTCAATGGATATGCTGCACATCCACCTACAAATCCATGTGTTTTATGTAGGATCAGTCATATGCTTCCTGTTAAGCACCAGGCACGCACAAACTATTTTTACTCAACAACGGATGGCAGAAGCACTACCTTGCACACGCCTGCAGAGCTCTGCTGTGGCAGTGCCAGATAAAAATCCGGCAGCTGTCATCTCACAGGTTGGAGAAGCACAGCTCTGGTGACAAAGCACCACCAGTGTACCACTGAGCACTGCAAACACCCTCACCTTCTATACAGCAGGCTTCCTGACAAGCCATGGAAGAAAGCCACTCTCTCTCTCCATCTGGGCCACTTTCTGGAGAATTTTCTGGAGAAAATTCCTCTTTTTGCTGAGCCTTCTCCTCTCAGCCTTCTGCTGAGACATTTACTTCTATCTTCCTATTATCATTCCTGCCTCTAATGATTCTTCCATGTTCCTATGCCACATACAGACCAGGATAGAAAATTTTCAATGATTAAATAAACAAAATCCAGGAAAAAAAATAGCCAAGGAGATTTTTAATATTAAAATTAAGAAAGTAGAGAATTTTTTTTAATAATGTTAAAAAATGTGCATATGACCTTTAATGGCTGTTATTTGAAAACATTAATTAGCTCCAGGGGGAAAATACACAGGAATAATATTAATTTGGCTTCAGGTTTTTTGGAAGACTTCCTGGATTTCATTTAAAATGCTCCGCTCTCCATTAGCACGTCTGATGTTAATATCCCCACCCTTCTCACCTAAAGCATTTTTCTTTTTATTGCATATGGGTTTTTATAAAGCAATCTAGACGCTCCTGGAAACACTGAAGTGGGCTGTCCAAGAAAAGAGGACAAAATAAAAAGGCAAGAGGCAGAGACGTAATCCTCAATTTGCTTAGAGCAATCCTGGGCACAACTACTCTATCAGCAAGAAAAATATAGTTGTGACTTTTAGACAGAGGCCATCAACACATTTAAACCTTTAACAACATTTTGGACCTCAAGCCAGTCTAAAGCCAATCCCACTGACTCTCTGCTTAGAGACAGGCTCAACCCAGTGCTCACCAGAACCTGTGCATTTACAAAAAGGCAACCAAAGGCACAAGCAGCATCACAGTCTAGAAAGATTCCTGCCAAGTCACCTCGTGTAAACAATGTTATCTCTGCAAATGATTTTTACCCTAAGGACTCAGCCCATCATCTCTGTACTGGCTGAAATATGGACAGAATCAAGCAGCATAGCAGAACTGGTTTTACAGTAGAGTGCATTTACACTATGAACACAATGATCACTACCAAATACTTTTGGCTTTTCTTTCTTGAATCAGCCATTGAAACAACAAAACCAAACCCTTTAAAACTATTATTGAGCTCCTTAGCAAGGAATTGTTCTTCCTATGTTTACTGTCATCTTCACAGTAATACACAAGGGAGCTTCTTACACTTTCTGTTCAAGTATCCATGCAACCTGATTAAGAGGTAGGAAAGCACAGCCAACTGCAAATTCCAGAGAAGAAAAGGGTGCCAAATCAACCAAGATTAGGATATAATTACACTGCAAACCTCTGTACAGCACAGACATAACCAAACTAGCTTTACATCAGCTGCCCAAGCACAGGAGTCTCCACAGGGACCCCAACGAAGAATTCAAGGCATACTCATTGACTGCATTTCTGAGCTGCCTTTGCAAGGTAGCAGCTCATTTGAAGTTAGCTCTGTCAACCCTCCATCAGTGATGTCCAGTCTTAAGGGTGACACTCTTCTTCACCTTCAGGTACTGCTGTTTTATACAGCCTGCCATTTGACATTGTAAATACACCTATCAGCACGTATGCAAAAAACACCCCACTGGAGAACCCAAATTCACATCCAGCTTCTACACAATTACCCCTCTCCATCCCACTCTACTCATCACTTAGAGCCACTGTGATGATTTTCAAAAAATACCTAGTCTGCAGCAAAATAAGATAAGACAGCTGGAATTGAGACTGTGGGGACAGACTGGCTGTCTCTTTGCATGTCATTATACCCTGAATTGTAATGGGCAAACATCTAGGAAACAGTGCCAAGCAGTACATTCTATTTAAAAACATTCAGAGTAATTTTTTTTTCACTAAATTTAAAAGCATCCTTTGGAATGTAAAGTTATCCTGGGCTTAATCTGACATCATGTAGTTTTGCTTAATGAGAAGTCATTTTTAACCAAACCACCTTGAAGGTATGCGAAACGGAAGGTAAAAAAAAGCTTATGTACAGCATTCAGCTTAAGAAAAATATCAGGTTATCAGTGATATATTTAAAACAATACAGATTAGCCATACATTTTATCCATAAATACAAGTATGTTGAGGAATCTAATTGTTGATACATTCGATGTTAAAAAAAAACTAGCTGCCTCTTCTTAGCATGCTGAACCCTGTTCTTCTGGGTGCAGTACAAGCCCCAAGACACAGCCTCTGGCCTGAAAAACTCAGTACAAAATTCCCAAACTGGCCTAAGCAGCAAAAATGACTAGTCAGTTTTTTAGAAGAGCTGAATATGTGTTTTCAAGCTCAAATCCAAGGGAAGCACCTACACACAGCACCTTGTTATCAGCAATGTTGGCTTTCTCCTTCATCTAAAGCCCTATCTCACTCAGAGTCTCCTGGGTCTCACATGACAGAGCCCTTCCTTTGAGGAAGGGACTACATTTTGCAACTTTTCAGATTTACAGAGATACATG